AAGAAATTGTTTATAATAACAACGAATGCATATATGTACATCTCATCATCATCATTATTTAATGAATATTATTAGTAATTCATACATGATACTTGCATATTGTTTTGTGTACCTGCTGCTGCTGTTGTTTGGAGCGGCTGCATTGGTGCAGTCATCTACCCAGAGGGGTCGTTTTGTTGATTATTGCAAATATGAATTATCAATTAAAGAAATATATAATGAAAATATATAACTGTAGGAAAATAAAAATAGCCATGATTATATTCACGTATTTATCGTTTTTTTTTTAGAGAAACAAAAAAGATTTATAACAATTGTAGAAAATTGCAGTATGTGAACTGATATTATTTGAAAAGCTCTAGCATTTGTCAGTTCCGTAAAGCACTCATATGTTTACTAACTATTTTCTATGTGTGATTTTAGTACATATTTGAATGTCTTTTTGGAGATTAATAAGATTTCGTGAATGCTTAGTATTAAACTGTTTACTAAGACATAATTGAGGAATCGTACTGATTTATGTTCCCTAGTGTTCCAAGGAGAAGATTTGAACAACAAAATACTCTCCTGGTTAGTATGATATATTAGTATTCCATGTTAACACAAAAGTGCTCCTCCCGATTACAATTCATTCAAATTGGAAGCCTTGATCATTTGTGTATTATAATTATTAAATAATAATTAACTGATCTTAGATCTTTTCGTATGTTCATTGTGATATAACAGAGTCTAGAAGCGACCTATAGAGAAGATTTTTAATTATCTAAGTTATAGAGATCCCTTGTCCCAATGAACATTTCAATATCTACAGCTGACAATCATTCTTCAGTTTAGCTGGAAGTTAACGATCTTTAGGAGAGGCTAATTCAAAAGAAAAATATAATAATCCTTTCCATACGTGAACTAAAACATTACTTTAAGAGGAGATAAATGAAAATAAGAGGATGCAGAATGACGATATTGAAAAACTTGAGTTGTGGAACCGATAAAATTTACAGTTACGAGTTTATTTTTAACACGAACCCCAAGTGTCACCCAATATACATTGTCCGTAGACAGCATGATCTTCCAGTCTCGAATCCGCACAAGTTGGTGAGCTATAGTTACTATAGTAGCAAAACATTTGTCGAAATTCAATAAAACATTTCAAGGATACAAAATAAAGGGTAATTTCAATAAGATCTCGGTTCCTTATTAGTAAGTGAAGTTAGATTCACAATTCTTTTACAGTTCAAAACTTCAATTTGTGTCAATTAATCATAAAGAAGTAAACGCTTCAAGTATGTTTGTAATATAATCGATGAAATACTCCAATAAGATGTTAAGAAGAAGGAAGATAAAAGAGAGGGATGCAGAAGGTATTTTTAACGAAACCGGGGCTTTAGTTTCATGGGTTTCAGACTTGAGGGTCTATACTTTTTTGACTAATTTTAATATAATTTCTTGTAAATTCAAAACAAGAAAATTAACTAACAAATTCTTGTAACAAATGTTTGCAGTTTACGAAAACGCTGGATTTAAAGAAAATTACATCTGGTAGCGCTAACTGAAGGTAGTTTTTCATAACACATATGGCAATCCCTACTATGGCAACAAAAAAATGCATGAAAACAACAACAAAATGAAATGCAATTGCAATTATTGTAATTTCATTCTGACTAAATGAAATTAACAAAATTATGAGGAAATTTTAAACATTTACTTAATAATTTAAATACATCTATAGGTATTGGTTCTAAAGAATCTAATGAAATAAACAGTAAAGGAAATATAAAAGAAGGGGGTAGGTGGTAAAAGAAAACAAAAGAAATCTTTAAAATGACATTTAAGAGAAAAATATAAAATGTTTTTTTAGATATTGGCTTATTCATCATAAGCTATTAATAATTTTATGCAAAATTTTATACACTTACCTTGTTTAATTAATTAACACGATTAATTAAAGTTTTTTCTAATAACTTTTCACTTCAAAAGAAATTAATAAGACTTGTGAAAAAAAATATTTGTAAAAATTACTGCAATTTTCATTTAACAGCTCTCGCACACACTGTAAAACAAACAAACAAACACACAGACATAATGTTATAGAAAAGCAAAAATATTAAAAGAAAAACAAAACAATAATTACAACAAACAAACAAAACAAATTGCTGTGCGCAGATAAAATGTTAAGTTAAAAGTACATAGGAAGCGTTGAGGCGGCAACGCGTTCCACGATTTTAAAGCATTTCGCGCTTTTAAACTACGCGACCAGTCTATAATCTAGTCTATAAGACTAGTCTATAGTCGAAACTATTCTATAGTTATGTATATAGTCTATTCTTTAGTAGTCTTGATTTTTCAGCGACTTTTGTTACATGATAAGACGGTAAATGTTGAAAAAACACTGGCAACACTGTCTCTATACTACTACCGACCAATTTGAAGAGGAAAAAGTGTAATGGAAAAAATACAAATAAAAACAATTAGAACGTCAGCAGCGCGGTCAAAATAGGCAGAAAAATAACAACAAAGCGCGAGTTGAGTTTTTATATTAAAAAAGTAGTCTTCGTATAACAGAATTAATAACGAAAGGAAAGAGAATAAAATGTAAAGTAGTTTTTTCTTTCTTATTGTTGTTGTACAACACAGCAAAATATTTTGATTTGATGTTTTTTTTTTTCGTTCGTTTTTCTTAACACTTTTTTATAGGCCTATTATTAATTATGTATAGTTTTCGTCAAATTATTAACACTTTAACAAATTAATTAAATTTCATTTTTGCTTATAAATTTAAAGCAATTTTCTTTGTTTATTACACATATTTTGCAAAAACTTTTTCGGGGATTTTTGAAAATTTGTATTAAAAAATCTTAATCATTTCCTCTTGCAATTCTTTTTATAATTTTTATTGCGTTTAAATTTTTTGTTAATTTCCTTTTTTTTCTTTTCTTTTTTTAAATTAAAACCAAAAATTTGTTTTTTTCTTTATTATACTTTTTTCGCCCAGCAAACGTATGAAGAAAAAACTTCTTTCTTTGTCTAATTGCGTTGTTTTGCTTTATATAAAAAATTCACTTTTTTTCCCTTTTAACAAATTCTTTTTTCAACCGTATTGTTGCAAACTTTTATAATTTTTAAACTTTATTTAGCAGCAATTATTTTTCTCTTAATATTACAAATGAAAAAATCGAATATTTCTTCTTAATTTTTGTTTCTTTCTTGCTTAAAGGTTGAATTATTTTTTTTTTTTTCAACTAGTTTCTTTTTTCGTATCTTTGTTTTTTTGCTATAATATATATTTTCAATATGACTATTGTAATGAAAAAACACACACAAACTGAGTGTAGAAGAAACTGTTTTGGGACGACTATAATTTGTTGTTTTAGTTGTTCGTGGTGAAACAGCTGTTTAACTGTTATACGCCATTGTTTGTATTTTGACACTTACTTTGGTTTTGAATTCTTCCACTAAGAGTTGCCAGTTTGTTTATACATTGAGGCCACTGACATCAATTTGTAGTGAAATTCAAAATTTCACTAGATATTGGGTATATCACTAGAAATTTAAAATTAAACTATAAATTTAAAATTTCACTAGAAATTCGAAACTTCAGTGGAAATCCGGAATTTTACTAGAAATTCGAACTTATTAGAAATTTCTGTACAAATTAGAAACTTTGCTAAGAATTTGAAATTTCACTAGAAAATCGAAATATCACTATAATTTCGAAATTTCACCAAAAATTCAAAATTACTAGAAATTTAAAATTTTACCAGTAATTCAAAATTTCTCCAGAAACTTTAAGTTTTATCAGAAATTTAAAATTTCATCAGAAATTCGAAGTTTTATCAGAAATTCAAAATTTCACCAAAAATCTAAAGAAATTTAAAATATTGAACATTCAAAATAAAAAGGAAATTAATATTTCTGTGAAAGTTCGAAATTTCATTAGAAATTGTAAACTTCTAGTTTATTTCTAAAATATTTACCTTAGTAAAGACACAAACCAGAGTTACCTGCAAATTTTTTTATTTCAAATTTGTCTAATTAAATCTGTAATGTGGCTTTGCTCATTTTTTTCAAATTTAAGAGAAAATTACTAGATTTATCAATTTTTAATCAAGAAATATCATCATTTTATGTTTTAGAAACCTGCATCTTTGGCTCCCAAAACTTACAATATTTTTGTACTATTGTTTTTCCTTGAGAAAACTGTTTACGAAGATAATGCAGTGAATAATGATAAAGTAAGAACTTAAGGCATTGCAGTGTCTCTTAACTTTTATAGTTAATGCAGTGTATGTTGGCAATACAGTGAAAGAATGTAGCAGTTTGTGTTGGTTGTACAGTAACCATAGGTATTGTTAACAATAACAAGTTTGGAAAGTATTTGTTACATTTTAAGCAGATTTCGGAAAAATTATCTTGTTTTTGAAGTAAATATGTATAATAAATTGGTTATTACAGTTTTCAATCATTTTTCAAAGCCTCTATTTTTTTATAAATAATCTTTCAAAGTTAAGGCAGTTTACCAAAAACTGCCTTAACTCTGAGATATGTTGGTAATACAGGAAACAATCAGTAACTGTAAACAATAACGTTTGGAAGGTATTTTTTATATTTTAAGCAGTTTTCAGAAAAATATAATAAATTATGGTTTTACTTACATTTTTATAATCAACAATTGGGTTATTCTTGTATAAAAACCATAAGAACACAAAGTAAATATTTGAGAGTATTATGCTTTTATTTAAACAACATCATTTATAAGAAATGCTAAATAATTTTTTAAAATATTTTATTCAAAAATTTAACGTTAAATTTCAATTCTTAACTGGGTGGCACATAAAATTACTTAAACTATAATTGTTTGCTTTTACAACATTCAAAATACAACACTTTTCTTTGTCTGTTGCCTGTCATATTCGTAAATACATCGTAGGGTTGCATTTTATGCTTAAACATTTACTACCTTCTGCGTGCAACTCTGATAGTTTTACTCACGAAATTTTCTCTTCAGTCCTTTTTCAAACATCAATTCGAGCATACGTATAGAAGTGCCATACGCAAGAAAAACGAAAGATTTTTAGTGAAAGAAAAAGCAAAAAAATAAAATGAAAAAATAGAAACGAAAAGAAGAAAAGTTTTTTTTTATACAAATTTCTTGTCGCCAACAAAAGAAAACCTAAAGAAATTAATTAAATCTATATATTTATTAACTAATTAAAAGGAATTTAATGAAATTTGGAGAAAATTAAGAGTTTTTGCAACAAAAATCATGAAATGAAAAATATGATATTTTGTGAAATTTTTGTATGTGTGTATGAAAAAAAGAAAAAGTAACAACAACAACACAGAAAAAAGAAGAAGCAGCATACAATAAAAATTTATATATTTATTTTTTTTTGTCTTTTTCTCAACTATCGTGTTGTACGTATACGCAAACCCAAAATAAAGAAGAAAAAAATCAAATAATAAAAAAAAGAAATAAAATCATTCAAAAACGAGTAATTTTTCTTCTTCTTCAGCTTCAACATCTTGCATTCTCCTTTGTACGTGTATATGTGTGTATAGATGTGTGTTTTTGTATTTCGTGTGTGTAAAAAAAATAAACGAGTTTTTATTATAAAAAAAAATAAAAAATACAAAATAAATGGAAAAAAATGTTAAATAGGTGTGATTTTTTGTTACGTTTAAAAGAATATTAAGTGAACGTGTAGTAGAGCGCGAATTGTAAGAAAAAAACCCAAGAAAAAATAACAAATTTTAAAAAGTTTTACTAGAAAATTAATCAAGTAAAGAAATTATTAAATAGTTCAATTAAAACTTCGAGATATATTATAAAAATAACAAAGTTTTTGTAGAAAAAATTTCAATTTTTTGGTTTCCACCTGGTGTCGTTGTTTTGCGTGAAAAAAAAGAAACGACCAGGTAAATCTTCGTCAAACAGTGTTGCATTTTTGCTCGTTGCTGTCAAATAGTTTTTTTTGGATTATTTTTATTTTATTTACTCAAACAAACAAGTAAAGGTAAGTTTTTCTTTAATTTATTTATAAATTAAAATATTTTATAGTTCTTTTAAATTAAAATATTTTATTATATTTATTTAAACATCCATCACCTTGTCAACTGTTCGGTTTTTATTTATTTTTTCTTGTTGTTGTTGCAATTTATCCAAACGCTGAGCAAAAACTTCTAGTTCAACTTTTTGTTTTGTTCGTTTCTTCAACCTTCTCCTTTTTTATTTCGCATAGTTTCGTTTAATTTGTGTGTTTTTAGGCGAGCATGTTTGTGTGAGTGTGTGTGAATTTTTAAGAGAGCAAAAAATTTGCCGCAAAATTTTTGTTGTTATTTTGTTCGTATTTACATTTTTTTTCTTCTTCTTCATGTCTTTCGTCTTCTTTTTTCGTCAGTTTCGTTTCAAAACAAACTAAAGAAGGAAAAAATATACTTTTTTTGTAAATACGAGAAACAATATTTTATGGATACAAATTAAACAACTGATACTAGTTTAACGAATTTTAGGAAAATTAATTAGCATTTTCTTTTATTGAAAAATTTTGATTTGAAAAAAAAAAATCAATATAACTTCACCAGAAATTTTAAATTAAACTAGAACCATCAAATGTCATTAATAGGTACTTATTTCAAAAATTACTAAAAAATTAAATACTTGAGTATTGAAAGGAGAAATTTTTTCAAAAAACTAAAAATTTTACTAGAAATTCGAAGTTTAAAATCTTACTTGTAATTTTAAGTCGAATTTTAGCTACAGTGTCTCACATAAGGGTGTGAAGTTAAATTCGTCGGCCAGATACGTCCCACACCACATATGTCAAATACGTTCCACATACTATAAAATTCGTTTTCAAATGAATTAAAATTTATTTTTTAATAAAACGAGCACCAAATAAAATGTTTTTTAAGAAATAAAGTAAAATTATATTAAAATATATTCAAAAAATTAATATATAAAATAAAAAAGGGTGTGAAGTTAAATTCGTCGGCCAGATACGTCCCACACCACATATGTCAAATACGTTCCACATACTATAAAATTCGTTTTCAAATGAATTAAAATTTATTTTTTAATAAAACGAGCACCAAATAAAATGTTTTTTAAGAAATAAAGTAAAATTATATTAAAATATATTCAAAAAATTAATATATAAAATAAAAATTAGTTAAAATAATTTTATACTCGTCAAATATGGTAGTAAAATATAGAATTTTCAAATGCAAAAAACAGACACTTGGAGAAGACATGAATCGGGGTACCGGCAGAGTGGAAGTAGCCCAGGACTAGTTCTTTCCAAAAACATATAGTTTGTATGCAATTCCAGCTCTGGATAATTTTGACGATTTTTTGAAAAATCATCAAATTTTGCCAAAAATAGTGGAATTTTCAAGTGGCTCCAAAGAGCATTTGGAGAAGACATGAATCGGGGTACCGAAAAACTGGAAGTAGCCCAGAACTAGTTCGTTCCAAAAATGTATAGTTTATATGCAATTCCAGCTCTGGATAATTTTGACGATTTTTTGAAAAATCATCAAATTTTGCCAAAAATAGTGGAATTTTCAAGTGGCTCCAAAGAGCATTTGGAGAAGACATGAATCGGGGTACCGAAAAACTGGAAGTAGCCCAGGGCTAGTTCTTTCCAAAAATGTATAGTTTATATGCAATTCCAGCTCTGGATAATTTTGACGATTTTTTGAAAAATCATCAAATTTTGCCAAAAATAGTGGAATTTTCAAGTGGCTCCAAAGAGCATTTGGAGAAGACATGAATCGGGGTACCGAAAAACTGGAAGTAGCCCAGGGCTAGTTCTTTCCAAAAATGTATAGTTTATATGCAATTCCAGCTCTGGATAATTTTGACGATTTTTTGAAAAATCATCAAATTTTGCCAAAAATAGTGGAATTTTCAAGTGGCTCCAAAGAGCATTTGGAGAAGACATGAATCGGGGTACCGAAAAACTGGAAGTAGCCCAGGGCTAGTTCTTTCCAAAAATGTATAGTTTATATGCAATTCCAGCTCTGGATAATTTTGACGATTTTTTGAAAAATCATCAAATTTTGCCAAAAATAGTGGAATTTTCAAGTGGCTCCAAAGAGCATTTGGAGAAGACATGAATCGGGGTACCGAAAAACTGGAAGTAGCCCAGAACTAGTTCGTTCCAAAAATGTATAGTTTATATGCAATTCCAGCTCAGGATAATTTTGAAAATTTTTTGAAAAATCATAAAATTTTGCCAAAAATAGTGGAATTTTCAAGTGGCTCCAAAGAGCATTTGGAGAAGACATGAATCGGGGTACCGAAAAACTGGAAGTAGCCCAGGAGTAGTTCTTTCCAAAAATGTATAGTTTATATGCAATTCCAGCTCTGGATAATTTTGACGATTTTTTGAAAAATCATCAAATTTTGCCAAAAATAGTGGAATTTTCAAGTGGCTCCAAAGAGCATTTGGAGAAGACATGAATCGGGGTACCGAAAAACTGGAAGTAGCCCAGGGCTAGTTCTTTCCAAAAATGTATAGTTTATATGCAATTCCAGCTCTGGATAATTTTGACGATTTTTTGAAAAATCATCAAATTTTGCCAAAAATAGTGGAATTTTCAAGTGGCTCCAAAGAGCATTTGGAGAAGACATGAATCGGGGTACCGAAAAACTGGAAGTAGCCCAGGGCTAGTTCTTTCCAAAAATGTATAGTTTATATGCAATTCCAGCTCTGGATAATTTTGACGATTTTTTGAAAAATCATCAAATTTTGCCAAAAATAGTGGAATTTTCAAGTGGCTCCAAAGAGCATTTGGAGAAGACATGAATCGGGGTACCGAAAAACTGGAAGTAGCCCAGGGCTAGTTCTTTCCAAAAATGTATAGTTTATATGCAATTCCAGCTCTGGATAATTTTGACGATTTTTTGAAAAATCATCAAATTTTGCCAAAAATAGTGGAATTTTCAAGTGGCTCCAAAGAGCATTTGGAGAAGACATGAATCGGGGTACCGAAAAACTGGAAGTAGCCCAGAACTAGTTCGTTCCAAAAATGTATAGTTTATATGCAATTCCAGCTCTGGATAATTTTGACGATTTTTTGAAAAATCATCAAATTTTGCCAAAAATAGTGGAATTTTCAAGTGGCTCCAAAGAGCATTTGGAGAAGACATGAATCGGGGTACCGAAAAACTGGAAGTAGCCCAGAACTAGTTCGTTCCAAAAATGTATAGTTTATATGCAATTCCAGCTCTGGATAATTTTGACGATTTTTTGAAAAATCATCAAATTTTGCCAAAAATAGTGGAATTTTCAAGTGGCTCCAAAGAGCATTTGGAGAAGACATGAATCGGGGTACCGAAAAACTGGAAGTAGCCCAGAACTAGTTCGTTCCAAAAATGTATAGTTTATATGCAATTCCAGCTCTGGATAATTTTGACGATTTTTTGAAAAATCATCAAATTTTGCCAAAAATAGTGGAATTTTCAAGTGGATCCAAAGAGCATTTGGAGAAGACATGAATCGGGGTACCGAAAAACTGGAAGTAGGCCAGGACTAGTTCTTTCCAAAAATATATAGTTTATATGCAATTCCAGCTCTGGATAATTTTGACGATTTTTTGAAAAGGCATAAAATTTTGCGAAAAATGTAGGTAGTTTCGGGTCGATACTGTTATTCTTATTATGAAAAACATTTTGAAAATCAACGTCTGTTGTTCAATATTTGATTTGAATTTTCGTTTTACAGTTTTTACGTGTAAATAAAATACTTTCAATAAAAAATAAACATTTCTTTCATATTGTTTTTAATTTTTGTTAATATTAAATATCACTCAATGAACTCTTTTTAAAGAATTATTTTGACGGTAGTTCATAATTTTATTTTGTGAATAAATAATGAGAGTGATGGAGGTAGCAAAATATTGTTGTAAGTTTTCCATGAAAATTATGCATATTTTATTGATCGTTTTGGGCGCTGTTAATTTGTTGTTGGGATCGCCGTTTTTTATATATGATTTATGTAATTTGTTTATGACAGCACAATTTTTTTCTTGTGTTTTTTATATTCTCAGGTAATAATAATGTAAAAATAGAGTCTCTTCGACTCTACTTGACCGTTCGCGCGTAGTGAACGACCACGATAACCATTCTCAGGTAATATTTTTCGTATTCGTTGTGAAAATTGAAAAAACTCTACAATAAGTAAAAAAATGAAGCAATTGTTTGAGGAAATTCGCAAAATGTTGTCTTTCCTTTTGTGAAATCTTTGATTTTTAGGACATATTTCTAATTTTTTCAATGACTTTATCTTGAAAGTCAAATGAATAGTGAAATTCAGTTGAATTTCTAGAAATTAAAAATTGTAAAAGATTTCATAAAAACACTAGTAAAGGAGAAATATTTTGTAATTCTTTGCGAATATTGGGAAATGTCTTAAAAAATAAAAGATTTCACAAAAACTCTAGAACAAGTCGAAAAAAGTTAAGCTCTTTGTTGAGAAAATTCTCAAAATTCCGTTGAATTTCTAGAAATTAAAAATTGTAAAAGATTTCATAAAAACACTAGTAAAGGAGAAATATTTTGTAATTCTTTGCGAATATTGGGAAATGTCTTAAAAAATAAAAGATTTCACAAAAACTCTAGAACAAGTCGAAAAAAGTTAAGCTCTTTGTTGAGAAAATTCTCAAAATTCCCTACACAGTTGCTATGGTGTCAGAAGTTTTGACCTTATTTAGGGATCGATTCTTTTATTGAACGTTTATAACAACACAAGTGTTGAGGATTGAAAGGTAATTTTTGTACATACATATGTATGAATGTATTTTATGATTTTGTGTAACATATGCTTTTTATGTTTTTTCAAAAAATCGTCAAAATTACCCAGAGCTGGAATTGCACATAAGCTATATATTTTTGGAAAGAACTAGCCCTGGGCTACTTCCAGTTTTTCGGTACCCCGATGCATGTCTTCTCCAAATGCTCTTTGGAGCCACTTGAAAATTCCACTATTTTTGGCAAAATTTGATGATTTTT